TGATGGCATTAATGCCCTCACGTTTGGCATTACTGCCCTTTATTTCAGCCAGTCCACCAATGCCAAATGGCAGTGCCCTTAAAAAAATGAAATTTGAGGCCTGTATTTTACACTCCCTAAGAAATTGAGATGGTTCTTAAGAATGTTTCTTTGCCCATTTAAAAGGCATAATGTGCTTGTAAAGTCCACTGTCTGTCGGTACTGAAGTGTACTGTATCAATACGTCATACCATTTTTTAAAAATAGAAGTATGGTAGAAATGAACATAAAATTAAAGATGACCCTTTGTTTGTCATACCATATTTAGTAATGGCAGTTCTGTAAGACAGCTTGTCCACAATATCAAACCACAGTTTGAACGTAGTTGACCCTGGATGGATCCGTAGCAACCAACCAACTTTTTAAGTACCTCTGCTTACTTGGCAAGTCAACAGAGCAACCTATCGTTATTCAGATTTTATACCAAAGGCAGCGAGTGCCAGCCAACCGTGGCAGCCGCGGTTCATTCCACAAACACTTTGGACAGCCACGGCCATCACATCTGTTTTAATTCAAGGAGGCTAGTCTCCTTTCCTTACACAAGAACCACTGATTTTCTGTTGTGTCACCAGTTGAAACTGCCGCCTTGTTTGAGGTTCAGTTGATATGCAGTCCAAGGAATTCCATCTTTATACATGTGCTTTTGTACTCGAACATTGCAGGGAACTAGTCAGTATGTAATTGGACTAAACTGGTACCCTTGTAAATCGGTGACATGAGCTAACCCCCCTTAAAGTCCATGCTGTAGTCAGGCTTTGATCTTTATAGCGGCCACCAGTGGCCACTGCCGTGATGCCCCAGTGAATTGCTGTGATGCCCTTTAAAAATAGCGCGTACCTTTTAGCCACTTGGCCGACGGGCCTCCCTTCAAAGTTCAATGATCAGTAGGCCTACGCAGCTTTCAAGTTACCATTTAGTGGTAGTATGTCTGTCAACAGCTGGCCAGCCGCACCGAGCACTAATTCTTTTCCACAGACTGGTTTTGCATCGCCCCGTAGACAACATGTTATGGCAACCATATCAACGTAGATGACTTGTGCGACTCTAAAAACGTGGCACCAGACTACTTTTATACATAGACTGGTTACAAGTCACGGACAGAATTGCACATTCTGCTCTGATTGGATTCTGCACATTGCACATATTGAGACCAAGTCACTATTATTTTGGCGTTGCGGACAGGAGTATGACCCAGTCTATTTTTTCCTCGCTATTTTACTGGTATTCACGCAGGCACGACAGCGAGTTTCTATTGGGTAAATGTCTGTGACCCAGTGACTGACTTGCTTGAATTACATTGTTTGTAATTTACATTGATTTTCGACATACAGTATTGCCTTTATGGCATCATGAAAAGTAATAAGACACAACACCAAACGGTAAATTAAAAGTTAATACAGTATTATTTATTTTTATTTTTACAATTCAAGCACACTGCTCAGCATGTCACGGTGAACAGAAAAAAATAATAATTGCAGGTTGAAGGTTAAACACCATGTTGAAATTGAAGGAAAGTCTTTTAAAGTCACCAACAAGCATAATAAGTAAAAGTTTAAAAAATGGCCTTGGTGCCCTTTGGGTTTTGGGAGTATTCGAGGCCAAGTGGCCTTGACCCTCTGAAGTTGAAGGTTGAAGCCTGTGTAATTACGTCGGTTATTCTCTTTTCATGGCCAACTTGTAAAGTTTGCTCCTCCTAAAGACTGCTGGTTTTTATTCAAACAATTTCTGACTGGAGCCGCCCTGTCTCAAAAGAAACAATTTGTATCAAACTATTTTAAAGAAAAACCACCTGCCAATCTAAGAACCACCTGGAGAAGTACACAAAGGAGCTTTCAATCACTTTCCTTAAAAGGGAAATGTTTTGTTTGCAGACTGGAATATTTGTATGTTCTTTTTTCTGAACAAATTTTTGCTCATTTTACCTTTGATGGCACCGCCTTGATATCAATAAAAAAATAAAAACATGTTTGAGGGGTGACCAACACGCCCCGCCTATCTCCTCATTAACATAAGAATGTGTGACGTAAACTCCGGAGATCGGCATACTTTCCCGGTTATACGTGGCAGCGTCACACGCACTTCTTGTAAAGTTTCTCGAGAATTTCGCAGCACGTCTTTACGAAAATAACGTAGTTTTTTCAGAATGCCACCGTCCTGGACTGTTGCTGGTTGCAGCAACACTACCAAAGATGGTTTTAGTCTGGATTGTTATCCATCTGACCCCAAATTTCGACGAATTTGGACGGCGAAAGTGAAGCTGACCCGAGCCAAGTGGTCAGGACCAACCGAGCACTCGGTGATCTGCTCCGCACACTTCGAGCCTTCTTGTTTTGATCGAAACGCCAACGATCAACAACATCAGTTTGGGATTAAGTTCAAGGCAATGCTTCGTCCCGATGCTGTACTCACAATATTTCTAACAAGCCATGTCCACTTAATGTCGAGTACGAAGCACGATACGTACATGTACACACACACGCACACGCACTAGGCACACGCAGCATCCAGCTGCCATATTAGCCTGGTACCCACAACGCAACCTGGGTACCAGACCATCTTGACTGAACTCTTGATCTCTGGAGTCAACGTCACGAACAGCGCCACCACGCGCTCTATTAAATAGGAAATTTAAATTCCTAATTTTTTAAATTCTAATTTTACATACTGTAGACCACTCACGACTAAATAAAAGCATTTTATTTGTACAAAGAAGTTTTAAAGACACCCCAAAACTCATTTAATAGATTAAAAAATTTAATTCTGGCATAGACCCTTTAATAGCAGATGTTTTGGGTGCAAAGAACCCCCCCCGGAAAATTTCCTCTAGTGTACACACTTTATACATGAAGTGTTCCTGTTTGTTTTTGCTTTCCAGGAAAACATGTGTGGAGATCTACAAGCACAGTGTGTTTGTACACTATGCATGAAATGTCTGGGTTTAAGCATGGTTGCCTCGTTCAGTCAGGCATAATTCAAGAGTCATCAACATAGCGATAGAGCTTGTCTTGGGGCTGCGTCATTAACTTGTCTCTGCATGAGTGAATTTTTGCCACGGTTGCCATGGTCCCCAGCAACAAGGCTAAACTGTGTTGATCACATGTGGTCAAACCACGGCAACCTTTTGGACAAGCTCCCTAATTCAAAATACCCACTTCCAAGGAAATCCAGTGTTTGTCGCTAATCTTGCTGTAAAGCACCCCGTTTTTAAATTCAGTCGTGCCTGGTTTATTGAATGGACAGAACAGCAGGTGAAAAATGACAATTGAACTGCTCTTTTTGCGTTGATATAAGACAGTTTGTAAAAAGACGTCATCTAAAATGCCATAGTGCTTTCTAAACACGATGTGTTTGAAACATTAGCAGTATTGGTTTGGATCTGAAACTTGTACTTTGAATCAGTACAAAGTGTGTCTCTCAGCTGGTGATCATGACTCAAACAGACCACTTCATTCAATTTGGGCCACACATGCACACTTGATGCTAATTAGAGTATCGCTTGTCTTGATTGAATGCCTCACACAAATGTGTGAGGACTTGTGTGGACCAAGGCTCGTTGACCACTTATTCTACAGCTCGAGTTGAGTTCTGAATCCCAAGAGCATTGCCTGGCAAATGATACTATGTATTCAACAATATGGATAACCACCCAAATGAGTGAAATAGTTTTCTGGATGTTTTCCTCTCCAGATGTGATTAGCGACATAGATAGAGTTCACTGCACTTCTTGTAGCAAGCAGGTCAATCATCTGGACGAGAGGTCGTTCAAGCAACACCCAGCCTTGAAGGTCGTAATCTGTCGGGTAAGGTCAATAAACACATGTAATGGACTTTATCATGACATTATTGAGGAGCTGTAGGCTGTGTTGTGCATGTCTGAATAACCTGGCTCTGGCTGGCAGCGAGATACATAGGAAGTGATTGTAGCCGCTAGGTGGTGGGTTTCATAGGCACATGTGTTGTTCATGGCTACAGCTGAAAAGTAAGTAATGAAATTCTGTATCATTAAGTCACATTTTGTGCAAGGGTAAGTGTGCATTAGGAATGAATAATACTTACATTACATGACCATGTAAAATTGTCCCAAATCCATAATAGCAAGCCAGTTGAAAATGTGTCATGAAAAGGGGATGATTTCAAATGCTAGTATCTCAGAATGCCCATTTTGTAGAAAAGGGAGGCTTTGTCACATGGTGAAAACACTTGGTTTGTGAGTACTTCACCTGAATTTAGTCGTTTTATGTGAAAGGTTTGCTATTTTTGTACATAGGAAGGAAAAAACCTTAAGTTTTCCTTGTAGCAAAAGAACCTTGTTTCCCTTTAACTAGGGTGTATTTGTTTCTAGAATATAAGCCATTAGGCAAACTGTCACACCTTTAACCATAAAACTTAATGGAATTTCTCTTTTCAGATTTTTGGTACCACAGTGATGTATTTTGAACTATTGAATCTTAACAAGTTACTCATCAAATCTTTCAGTAACAAGCATAAATTTTAATGTGTGGCTAGCAACGATATCCAGAAAATTTTATTTCTCTGTATTTCAAAAGTTTTTAATGGGCACTTCTTTCCATTTAGGAAAATTTGGTTGAACCAGTCAATTCCGGAAGTGCACCAGTCACAGAAGATTCACTTCAGGGGTAAAACCTGCACTACTTAGATTTTTTTCCTGAAATTTTTACTCTAAAGAGAAGTAGGACTGCTAATGAAACCCTGAAGAAAGTCCAAGTTTCCTTGAAATCTGAGTTCGGAATTAAGTTTGCTTTATTTCCAACCAACAGAAATGCTTTGAGTACTACAAGAGTGGAAAGTTCACACAGGATGAGGACGGCATTGATGAACAGTGTCGCTGGTGTGCGGAGGGAGGCAGCCTCATTTGCTGCGATTTCTGCTCCAACGCCTTCTGCAAGAAGTGCATCAAGCGCAACCTGGGCCGCAGCACCCTCTCGGCCCTACTCAGCGAGGAGGACACCAAGTGGCACTGCTACATCTGTGATCCCGCCCCCCTGCATACCCTGCAGAAGATGTGTAAGGACATCATGCAGGGCCTGGCTAATTCTGTGGAGGCTGCCAAATCGCGCCACGCCCATCTCAGGGATGGCGTGGGATCAATGGAGCTTTCGGATAGTGACGGGACTCATGGATTGCTTCACCCGAGCATCAGGAGCCTCAGTGTCAGCCTTCAGATAAAACCCGAATGCCCGAGCTTGGAGATCACCCAGGAGGGTCTCAGGGTCCTCAGGCCACAGGGAGGGGATCGACATGGACTCAAGATGGCGCTCTGGCTAATGCGCAGCCTCCAACAGACCTCACAGAAAGGCCAGAAGGCTATCAAGAAACAACTGGCTGCCATGCCGGCCACCGGCAAAGCTTGGAAAGCCTCAGAAGATATAGTGCAATCTGCTGACCAGAAATGGGTTGTGATGAAGACAGGAAAATTGAGCTCAAAGAAATCCTTGCCACAAGAGAATGCACAAACCTCTCCAAGTTCCAAGACCAAAAATTGTCCAACAAATCATCTCAGTAACAAAGTAACTGTTACGGAGGAAACCCATCCATCAGCCAGTGATTTCAAGAGAGAGATTGCTTTGGAGTCATCTACCCCCAAAAAAGACAAACCGATGGATGAAGAGAATCACGGAGGCGATAAGAATGAAAAAGCAGATTGGAAGTCATTGGAACTAAAAGATATCAGCAAAATATCTATGAGGACAAGGCCAAATAAGGACAAAGAACCTGAAGAAAATGAGCCGACGTTCATGAAAGTTGATCAGGGTAATGACCTAGAGGCTGTGGAGGGCAAAAATAATGAAGAACCAGCAGTAAATGAAGTATCGGAGCACAATAAAGACACAGAGAAGACAAAGGATACTAATGGGAAAACAAGTAAGAAGGAGGAAAATGATGTGGCAGATGTGGAGGAGCGTAGTCATTATGATGTAGAATGTGAGAAAGCACTCATGGAGGAAATCAGTGAAATGGTGTCTGACCAATCAGAAGAGCCCTCGACTCCAAAGATGCAGAGGCCTGACAGGAAGCATCTAACAAGTATCACGCCGCTGCGCATCAAACTGGAAAAGATCCCGCCGTCCAGATTAGAACAGTCTACAAAAGAGCGGTGTAAATCGCCGCGGCGGCAGAAGACAACGCCCAGAAGCTCGAGGAGCGGCTCTGTGAAGCAAGAATCGGATGTGTCGGAGGACAACAAAGACGAGCCTGCTGCGAGAAAGCCAAAGGAGAAGCCCATCCTCAAGGAGTTGTTTGAAAAGAAAAGTGACTCCGGTGACATTGAATCCTCTGATACTAGCGAGAGCGAACTGGAAGACATAGACTGGAAGAGTGCGCCCAGAAGATCCACTCGAAGGCAGCAGAAAGAAGGCAACAATGACCAACAGATGGAGAGGAAACAGGTGCAGAACAAGAAAGTGAACAAGGAAAAGGAAGATAAGAAAAAGAGCAGTTCTAAGGATTCTGACTTGGAAGTAGATTGTCAGAAGACTACTGACTGTAAGAAGAAGGTGCATGAGGGTCCCAAGGGCCCTGGCAAGGACTCCAGCAATCTGGAGGACAACGATTCTGATGAGATTGAGCGTCTCCTCTCTCCAAGGAAGTCCAAGCACACATCGAGCCGCCGATCATCCAGACTGAAGCTGATGCCAAAGGCGGCCACCAAGTCGAAAGCGAAGACCAAGAATAAAGTCCGGGATTCGGATTCATCCAACTTTGACTCAGACCTGGAGAGGAAGATCAACAACCTGACCAAGGCGCCCAAGGTTACCAAGAAAGAGCAAACAGACCAAGAGGAAAGCATGGAGGAAGGCTCTGGCCCTGAGGCATCAGTCAAGGTTGAGTTCGGCAGTGATGCAGAATCTAGCAAAGAAAAAGCAGGAAAAAGCACTTCAACAAAATCCAAGAAGTCCAAGAATAATTCAGGTTTAGAAGACGAAACCAAAACCAAGAAGCTAAAGGCTAAAAAGTCTAAAAAAGTGGAGGGCAGCTCAGACTCTACCCGTGAATCAGAGGATGAGACTTCAGAAAATGATGAGGGTCAAGTGGGAGATGATGTTCAGGTCCTTGGGATCAGTGCAGCTGATGGTGATGTTGCTCTGGGTAGTGACTTGGAAAACAAACTCGCTGAACAAAAGCTGATGGAAGAAATAGAGGCTGAACTGGACAAGGATGATGGAACAGATGATGAGGAAGATGATAGCAGTGATGATGAGGACTCTGATGCAGGTCCCAAAAAGAAGAGGAAAGGGAAGAACACCGCGAAAGATGACAAAGATGATGATGACGAGTTCAAAACTTCTTCCAATGAAGAAGATGAGGAAGATGAGACTGAGTATGAAGACAACTACACGTCAGATGATGAGAAGCCATCCAAGAAAAAGCAAGGCAGATGTCATCGCCTTATGAGAGTCAAACTGGGAGAATCCAGCAGCGACGATGGCATGGGCAGTGATGTCTCAGGCTCGGACTCCAAAAAGAGAAAGAAATCCCAACAGGGCAGGAAGCGCATTCGGGACAGCCGCAGCACCTCAGACAGTGAGTCCATCCAGGGGAAGCCAAAGAAAGGAAAGAAGCGAGGACGTCATAGGAGGTCCTCGGACAGTGACAGTTCGAGCAGAGGCTTCCAGCAGGAGAGAAGCTACAGGCGAGGCAAAGGGAAAGGGAAGAAGAGGCGTCGAATCAAGGTGGCTGCGGACTCGGACTCAGACTCGGATTCAGGCACAAAGAAGAAGAAAGGATCTACAAGTGTGAGTATGCACGCAGGGGTCAAAATTAACGGTGGTGCGCTGGCTCAGGGCCACTGAAAAAAATCATCGGGCCACTGCATTCTCCAAAAACCATGGCCCGGCGGGACCGTGGTTATTTCAGGAACTTTGCCTCGTTTTGAAACTTTCATCACATTTTACAACTCGTGATTTTTCAAATCACCGGCGCAGCACTTTTGAGTTCACGGTTCAATTCCACGGTCCACATGGCATTGATTGCCTGCTACAATGCGCCGGGTTTGTGTGCCATATACACACGTAGTGCAGGACCTGATATCTGTTCTTTGCACAGTCGTGCATACAGCTCATAATACATGCGAATGACCTGGGTTGGCTGGTATCATTTTCTTCTAATGCCAGCTTAATGTTATCTCCCATGGACACCTATGAAACGTTTACAAGTCGCATTGTGTCGAGTCCGCATCGGGCCGATCGTCAAGTATGAGCAATGTAACCCTGGAATTGAATTTGTGAACACAAAAAATATATATATAGATAACAGATCAGGTTCTGGGAATTATCTTGTAGAAATCTTCCTGCAACAGTTTTTTTCAATGTGCAGCTGCAGAGTTGGGTGCATGAACGGTGAATTGTACAATGCTCTTTTGACCAGGATGCGGGGACTGGTTACTGTGTTACCATTATGCCTTCTTTGGCAGTGGTGTGGTGCAGTAGGAACCAGTGAAGCCTTGCTTCTATGAATCAAAATATATTGCGTGCGTGCGTGTTTTTGCCGCCGTGATAGCGAAATGCAAAGGGAACTTGTGAAAATAACGCAACTTTCTTTCCTGCTTACATGTTGTGAATGTAAGCAGGCAAACAAAAAAATCAAAGCTTTTAGATGTGAAAATATTGTTGAGAGGTGTTTTGTGAAGACAGGAAAGACAGGATTTTTTCTCCTTTTAAAAAAAAATTTAAAATGTTTTTTTCTAACTTACCGATATAAATTTTACGGTCACACCAAAAATTTAGGATCAGTCGTTGAACCAGAAGTAGAATTAGTTTTTTGGTTCTCAGAAAGTGTATTTTAATCCAGTCAGGCTGGCCAATCAGCTGTTTTGGTAGAGAAGTTCAACTGACGCAAATGGGCATGTGTGGTAGGCTTGATCAATTTCATTACATGTGCTCAACCCCGGCCAAATTTTCACGAGGGCCAGTGCAGTGCGCTTCCCCACTGGCCCTGCAGGCCACCAAGAGATTGAAGTTAATTTCGACCCCTGGCATGTGTAAATCTCATTGAACGATTGATATTTGACACATCGTGTGCATTGGACTCAGTCAAAGTGTCGCTGTTTTCAAAAAGTGACAAATTGGCTCAAAATCATCACTGTTTGAATGTCTGTTTTTAGGCTAAGTCAAGCCTATGCTAAAAATCCTTTGTTACTGTTTCTATTGAATTGGCTGTACTGATCAAGCAGTAGTCACTTGTAGTTTTCTTGTGTTTATTTTGTCAAATGTATGACCTGACATTCCAGTTCAAAAAAGGAAGGATGTTGACTTGTCCCAATTTTTTTGGCTCATTTTTCCCCCTAAACTTTGTTCACATTTTTTTCCTGATTTCACAATTTTCAATGACTTCTGTTCATGTATACAGCCATCATGGGAATAACACCTAGTGAGTCATAGTTGGGTTATTGCCTCACTTCTTTTTGCAAGTCATGAGGATATTCCAGGAAACATAATACCACTGTAGTTTATTGACAGAATAGACCGTTATAAAGTCCATTGTTACATCCTTTGACATATAAAATCTGCTACTGTTAGAATTGTAATCATGCAGTTCCCATTTTCGCTTTACACAAACTAACGACACCAAATTCCATTACTATTTCTGCAATAAAAACTGTGTTGTCAAGTAATCCTTATATTCTCACATCTGTTACCGATGTTTCAATTTTTGGACTGAATAGTCAGACGAAGAGAAAGACACACCCAGCAAACATGGCCGCAAGAAGATCCGCAAATTGATTTCCAAGGATAAACTACAGGAGGAAACAGTTCGGGCAGCTAAAGAAGAGAGAGAACGCAGGAAACGCATCGCTGAGAAACGCAAACTGGTAATGCTGCTCAGTCTCACCTCTGTCAGAGGGATTTTTGAAACTAGAAGTTGACAAAGCATTCTTTTTGTTATTTTGGTGAGTTGTGTCAATTAGTGTTTTGTAGCATTAATGGATGTCTGCTTGAAATCCTGAACAAAATACACTTGACAAATTCTTTACATCTTCGGGGTTGGCAAGCAATTTTGTTGTGTTTTTTTTTAAAGCACAGAAATGAATTTCCCTTAATTCCAGATGTTTTTACTCAGTGGAAATCCATGCGCCCTAATAGACCTACAACATAATGATATCACCCTTTGTTTACATGCACTTTCCAATGGCAGTGAGATGGGACAAGATTACTAAGCTCCCATAGGGACGCACATGTAAATAAAGAGTCACGTCATCATGTTTTAGGTCTATTTAAAAAGTGAAGAAAGTTTACATGTAGTGCACGGAGGTAAGATTAGGGGAACGTTGAATTTGATCCTGTAGTAAAGTTTGGAATTCATTTTAATTTTGGTAAAGTTGTGGTGAAATTTTCACACAACATTTGACAACTTCTGCCAACGCTCTAACCATGCATTGGAGGTGCACTGTAAACTATGTGTGCCAATCATTGAAAAAAGTTTCAAGTTTCAGGGACGCAGTCAAATGCTACGTGTAAGACACTTCTAAGCTTTCGGCCTCAAACAGTTTGAAAGTCAAGTGGAAGAATGGCATAAATACAAGATGAGAACTTGACGGTTTGAGTTTTGGGTAACCACTTTGTGCCGGAGGTTGTGTGGACTTGATCTTGTTATCTGCACACACAGGCATGGCTGACTGGTTCACACATCAAGTGTGCTTCGACTCACCTCCGGCTGATATCTAACCATGTTAATCCCCTTTGTAGTTTAAACACAAAGCCTGAGAAATGTATGGGGGCAGGCCATGTGTTTGGACTTGAAATTGTAGCAGCAAATATCGCTCCTTGGTTGCAGCTGTGACAGTTGAAAAATATAGGTTGTGGTAAGAAATTTTGTTGGGAATACGAAATGAGTCTTGCACATCAGTATTGGTGGTATTTGGCTGCTCGTTACATCTTGGCTGAGTATTTCTTGTCCTTTTCAAAAACCAAACTTCTGGCCAAAGTAATGCCATTTTCAAGTAGAGGAACTCTTGTAACAAGTTGCAAGTGAGTTTTGGGTTCAATACATAAATGTCACGTCCTCTACTCTGTAGGTGACTGTGGTATCTGAGGAGGCAGCCGAAACCATGGGAACAGTGGATGAGGTCATTCTAGAGCAAGATGCAAAGACAAAGGATGTCTTACTGGCTGTGGATGAATCTATTGCCAAGCAGCTCAAACCTCATCAGGTCAGTCAATATAGATGTGGTACTCAAGATTCACAGTAGACTAACAAGGACTCAGTTTTGTGGCGCTGTTTTAAACATCTATGTAATGCAATTTTTTTCAGTACAGCCCTTAAAAATGCACTTTTGTTTCCCAATTAAACTGTATTTTGAAGTTTTGGTTCACTATTTTAAAGGGTATTTTACATGCAGTTTCCTGTTGGGTTTTATGCAATGTATTTCCGTATTCATGAGCAAAACAGTGATGTCATCCTGGGAAGAAAACCTTACGTTATGCTACATAGATTTGTGCACAAAAAAATGAATTCTTTCATATTTTGCGGGATAAAATGATCTTTTCTTTGAGGATTTATTGTTGTGTAAGTCCATGCTGATTGACCAGTCAGCAACCCCCTCCTCTCAATGATTTCAATGAGCAAATTTTGGTGTCAGAAAAACCTATTAAATGAACAGCGTCTTCCCTAGCAATGGCATCTCTGTTCACAAAAGCATGGACAATTTTAAATGTTATTGACATATTTAATCCAAAAGGGACATCATTGCCTTGACCTTTCAATGTAATTTTTCTGATTTCACTAACTAAGAGTGGCCTTCATAATCTGCTTTTGGTGTCCTCTGACAATAAGAGAGCTCAGTTTGTCTTACAGCTACATCCCTAGAGGCTGCTGTATTGCACGTGTTCTTTTTGTCACCATGAAACTTTTTATGAAATTCCAAGGCCCTCCTAAACACCCAAGCCCCTGAGAACAGTCTCTCTCTTCTTTGTGGAGACCGCCGTGACAAGTAATTATCCTGTCAGTAGGCAGGCTAAAGTCAGAGGGAGCTTATTTATTGCAATCCGCCTTGAGGCACACCTTCAATGGCAAGGATGAGACATGCTTGTGGGAGGTTTGTCAAGTGGGCTCGTGCACATGCCTTTGGCTAATACCCTGCCTTCAAATAGAAAGTGGTCACCCACACGGTCTTCGCATACTACTGCATAATCACACGTGAGTCTACGTGCACATGAATCTACACACACTTGAGATGCCTTCCAACCCATGGACCGTTGTTGCTATTGAAAAGAATGCCCTTTTGTGTTCCCGCTCGGAGCGGATGGAAATGAAAGGACAATTTCCATGTGCTGCAAGGTGTCAGTGCTATGAAATACACTACTGATTTTTTTTTTTTCATCTACGAGTTGCACAATTTAAGCACTGGGCAAAACCATAATCCGAGCCCCAGGTTTGGGAGTGTCACTTGATGTAATTGCTCTGGTTTGATTTCTTGCTTGTCTTTGTTTGGTTTTCAGGTTGAAGGGGTGCAGTTCATGTGGGACTGCACTTTTGAGTCCATGGAGAAACTGGAGGAGAAAGGTTCAGGCTGTATCCTGGCTCACTGCATGGGACTAGGCAAGACACTTCAGGTACCAGACATCTATTTAAATTCCCTTTTTGTGAAGTAGAGACTGATTCTAGGTTGTTTACAGATCAATTTACGTAAATGCAGGCATACCCCCAAATATAAGATCATATGGAATATGTAAACCAGCTCAGTGCTAGCTCAGTCATACATGTGTCTCTTACATACGGCTATGTCTCATATTAAGGTACATGTTGTGCTGATGTTGTTTCTGTTGTATGTTTCCTGGAGTTGATTGTAAGACTGAACCTGCGTGCCACACTATTGATGGCATCAACCAATCAGAATTGAGGATTCATGTTTGCTTGAAGATGATGTTAACTTATGGGTCTGATCTGCAGGTAATTACCTACCTACACACCGTAATGACCAATGAGAAGATCAGTATGAAGCACGCCCTGGTTGTGGCCCCCCTCAACACCGTGCTGAATTGGGTGGCTGAGTTTGAGAAGTGGCTAGGGGAGGACAGCTGCATTGAGGTGTTTGAGATCACCAGCTACAAGAATAACTGGCAGCGGGCGGACGCGCTGAAGTACTGGCATGACAACGGCGGGGTGATGGTCATGGGCTACTCCATGTACCGCCAGCTCTCCATGCACAAGTTTGTCAAGAACAAGAAGCAGCGGGCCATCTTCACGCAGGCGTTGGTCGATCCGGGTAAGGCGTGCTTTTGTGTTAGGCAACTCTCAACACTTTCTGACTGAGACAACCGTCGTGATAGTACAGTATGACTTCACCTTTTGATATGAATTGATTTTAAGAAAACAATTGCACATTACAGTCAAGACCTCTGAACACAGTCCCAAAAGTCTATGGACGTGGACCGTGTATTGAACTTAGCTGCTGTGCATGGTCTGTTTATGATATATCTGCTCCGTGGGCACACCCTGGTTTGTTAGAGGTTGTGATAAGGAATATCAGATAAATACTGCTCCTGTGACTCTTGCAAATCGTTATGTGTGGTATTTGGCTGTATATCAAACGTTGGCCTCTGTGTCTTGCCTTTTTTTCTGAAAAATCAAAAGTTTCAGTCAAAAATAATGCCACCTGCTAGTAGATAAACTCACAGTTAATGAAACATCAACATTGACAAGAGGTTGATTTGTCACTGCTACCACAGGTCCGGAGATTGTCATTTGCGACGAAGGTCACATGTTGAAGAACGATGCCTCAGCCATATCTAAAGCTCTGAACTCCATCCGGACGCTACGACGTGTCTGTCTGACTGGCACACCACTGCAGAACAATTTGGTTGAATGTAAGGAGACCAAATCGGCAACAGAATCATGGTTATTCTTTGTGTGCTCAGATATGCCAGAGTTCTCTTTGGAGACAAGTGTATGTGTGTGTCTGTGAAGTGCAGTTTGGTTCAAATGACTTGCTTCATATCAGTCACATACATGTGATGTCACCCAGGTTGTGTTACCACAGTGGGTGAATTTACTTTGTGATTTTTTTTGTTGAAATTAAACTATTCCAAGTAGAGGCTGAAATTGCTTGAAGTTGCTTTCAAAATGTGTGTAAAATTGCATGGCTAAAAATTTTACAAAAAATCACAAGTTGACAGTACCATGTGTCTGTTCAAAACGGATCAAAAAGTGCTTATGGGAGATAACACTGTTTTTTATTCAGTAAGCTTAATATATGGCAGAGGGATAGGTATATGTCAGTTTGTCTTGCACATGTACGAAATGTGTTTGAGTTGGTTGCTAAGCATCTTGGATACATCCAAGGAATGTGACATATTTTCAGCTGAGAGCCCCTCTTCTATGTGTCGAAACTATAAGACATCTCCGTTGGGTTATAAGTGTGTGACAGAGTTCACCTTTGAAAGGGGAGGAATTCAATGCACTCTAGACCGTTGTTTATATTAGAATTGTTACAAAAAATCTACTTATGAAAAGCGTTTTTAAAAAGGGTTACTCATTGGTTTGTTGCCTTAGAAAAGAAGTTAAGCTCAGCAAAATGTTAAAAATTCCACCATTTTTGTGCACAAATCAGTGTGACAGTGATGCTGTCTTTCCGGTTTGACATCACAGTTTTGCTCATGAATATGGAATTGCTTGGCGTAAAACAAGCAGAGAGGCACCGAAATAGCCTTTAAAGTTTGCAGGATTGTTCTTGCTATCCCCACACAGATCACTGCATGGTGGACTTTGTCAAGCCCAATCTTCTGGGTACCCGCAAGGAATTCCTGAACCGTTTTGTCAATCCCATCACCAACGGGCAGTGTGCTGACTCCACCCCTAGGGATGTCAAGCTGATGAAACGACGAGCCCACGTTCTGCATGATTTGCTTAGTGGTTGCGTGCAGGTATGCCAAGTAGTCTGTCTGCTAACTCTAGGCAGGTTGCAATTGATACCAGGGCTGTGCTCAGTATGCAAAATATACAAAATGTGCAAAAACATGAATATTAATTTCTAACATTAAATATTTGGAAGTGAAAATCTATGAAATGGAAACGCAACAAATTCAATCATTTGATTTAAAAAAATGCATTCTGAAAGCATTTATTGATGTATTACAAGTGGCCTTAACCCTAACACTCCTCAGTCCTCCAACAGGTGAAGGATTGAGGAGGGTTAGGGTTAAAGGCAGCTGATGGATATGGGTAACAAGTAGTTTAAACAAAATTACTCTTCCAATATTTGTAAACTTTCTGTGAAGTGTAATCTTGCTGGGACTAAAAGAATAAATCACCAATTAGGAGTGACCATCAATTAGATTCCCATCCAGCTTTTATTAGGGGATGGACCTCTGTCCTTCAACTCAGAGGTAGACCACCACACAAACATGTACATTTTGTTCCTGCTTCTTTGAGAATAATGCATAACTAAATATTTGAATATTTATCAGGTCAAGTGTTTGAATATTATAATTGTTCTAATTTACTCAGTCTTGGTTGAGACCATCACAAAATCAGACATGGAATAGGTTTAACAGTGACATCAAAATGCTTATGTTGTAGTTTAGTTGAACAGTTTGACAAATTCAAACTGGAGTTCTCTTGATGGTCTGTTTGGGGTGTTGTAGTATCCTCAAGGGGTCTCAACGTCTTACCCTTGTTCCTTCAACATTCCACCAGGAAGTTTTTCATTGGGTTGGAGCAGGCAGAGATGAGTCTCTTTATATACTTCCATAATCTCGCTAACAATGGGTGCTTTCAGAATTAACAAAACATCAATTTTGGTGCAGATCAGTATTTTGACCGGCTGGTTATATATCAACTCATTTTGTCACTTCCTATTTCCCTCCCCCCTGATGGGTTCTTTCAGAGTCGTGGATTTAGGGAGATTAAGAAAAGTTCAACAAACAATGGAACCATTAAAATTCATGACATTGCATTATGAGTTCCATACTCTTGTTGTGAGATATGGAGCAAAGTACTTAATGCAGTTGGACACCAGGGTTCTCAAACATATCATGGCCCTGTACACTAGAATGTTGCCAACTTTTTGTATAAAGTCTGCAGGACTGATTTGCAAGAGTATTCAGCATCTCTGTGTAGGTGTTAGTCTCACATTGGAAATGCTGTTCAATAATGTTTCACATTACTGTACCATTAGCAGTGTCAGGTGCTCCACATGAAGTGTTCGCCATCGTGAATATAATTTTTTCCTCATAATAAGAAAAGTTGTTTAACATTTAAAGTAACACCATTTTCTCTTCAAACTAAAACAGGTGAATCTTCATTTTGGCATAGGTACCATATAGTTAAAAAATGCTGACAGTTGGGGAGAAATGATCAGCTTGTAACTTTCCACTTTAATAAAGTTGTACCAGAAGTTTGAATCCTGCTGTGCACCATCCATCCAGACCGCTTACAATGAATGTGTGATGCAGTCTTTGTTATTGAACTTGTGTTGAATGTTACCACCGTGGTAAACACAATTTGCTGAAGCTGGTCATTTTGCTTTGTTACAGAGGAAAGACTACAGTGCTCTCACCAAGTTCTTGCCCCCCAAGCATGAGTACGTGATTTCGGTGCGTCTGAGCCCGGTTCAGATCAAGCTTTATGAGCTTTACCTTCAGTTCCAGTCTCGCAACGACAGCGGCCAGCTGACGGAAGGGTCCAGCAAAGGCTCGGGCACCGGCCTGTTTGCCGACTACCAGCAGCTGATGCAGATATGGACCCACCCCCACGTGCTGAAGCTCAGCGAGATTCGACAGGAGAAAATTGTGAGTTGTTTCTTGCAGGCCATGTCATTAATCCTCCCCCTTCCCTTCCACCTCCTCCCCCCTGACTCTTTCCTTACATGGGCTCCTTGCTTCCTACACTTTTGTTTCATAGTCATCATTATTTTGTGCACAAAGTAATAAGTCTGTATTTTATAGAGAAACTCACTCTACATGTGGCACGTGGTGCCCGTGGTGTTCAAGTGTTGACAATGTCAATTTTACCAGTGACGGGGATAATTGCATAGGTATATTAGAGGCAGAGATTTCTGGTGGAAATACCCCTGATACAGTAAGGGGTGAAATGGAGAAAGTATAATGTTAGAGAGGGTCCTAAGATTGCAACAGTTTCATTTGATTGTTTCAATTCATGGTTTGGCACTGAGCAAAAATGCAGTTCTGAGGGGTATGGATGATGTCATATACGTGTGAAATAATGTTGAGAGTTGAAAACTCAATTTTTCTCTTCTTTCATCTCAAGTGTTAAATGGTGTTTCATAATTGTTTACTTGTTAGGTTATGCGAGTTGGACGTGCGGTTGATAGGCTTTGAGAAGTCTATATTTAATGATCCAAAAAACCAAATTAACAAAACATCAGTTTTGGCGCAGATCATTATTTTGACCGGCTGGTTATATATCAACTCATTTTGTCACTTTAGTTCCCCTATATACTATCATAAAACCATGGCACAAAATTGTGTAAAACCTGAGATTTTTTCTCTTCTGATCCCCAGCTTCCATTTACATGTCTGTTTGTTGAATTTTTATCTCGCTGCATTTTGATTTTCTTTCATTATTATAGTTGACATTTCTCATTTCCCTCAGCAATCCCGCAACTACATGCATGAGATGTCAGACTTTGTCACGTCGGCCTCTGAGGTCTCAGACAGCAACGACAGCATCCAACAGTTTGTGGTAGAGGGGAGTGAGCCGGAGGAGGTCATGGAGGATGATGACATGCCGTCAACATCAACTGGCAACCGAGGGACACGGAGGACAAGGGCTATTCTTCAGCAGCAAATGATGAAGCAGGAAAAAGAAATGTAAGTTGGAAACTGCAACAGTCAGGGGTGACATAAGATGGTAGGAAAAGTTGACATGTAACCAGCTTACATACCTACCAACCATCCAATTTAATTAGAAATGTCCCAATTTATTAAGTTTTCCGACTGCGAAAATCAGGACGTTCCATTTTCCATAAAAAGGAAAAAGTCCTAGCAAAAGAGGGCGCTATTTGCAGAAAGAAAGATGGTGCTATTTGCTATGTCAAAATGGCAGTTGTTGCACATGTATGCACTTTCTGTGTACATTTACATGTAAACATCTTGTTTTGCTTGGCTTCTTATTTTGCTATGGGCTTGTGAAACGGCTGTTCCGATTTCTGACTTTCAAGCATTGGCAGGTATGCGGCTATTATAACACAGAGCAAAGTCACATTTGCTCTAAGGTGTGGAGTGACAAATTTCTTCACTCTTAGAATATACAAATCAATATAGACCAGTCTGGTGACAAGACTTGGGTCCCCAAAATAGTTCTGTTTCCGATTACATACCTCTCAAAAATAGGGTGGGTAGGTCAGAAATTGGGGGGGGGTCAAGGGTTTTTTGCTGATGGCATAAATGGGGATGAAAGCTACCAAAAATTGCCTCATATAGTGAGAAAAACTTGCCTTGATCTGTGTAAAAATTTGTACAGTCAACAATTGTTAAGAATTATGGACAATTTACAGTACTGTGCACAATGCTAGTCAGGTAATCACGGTAGCAAACTGGCCAACAATGTCTGTGTATCGTGTGGTAAGCATCCATGATACATCCAGACGGGCGGGTGATAAACCTCGTGCTGCGGCAAGAAATATTTATGGAAGCATGCTCGCTTCAAGTACAAGCAAAACAACCTCAAATTAAACTCTTGAACATACAAAGTACACACATACAAGAGACTAAGATCTGTGAATTAACAAAAATCTTCTTGTAAAATTGATGTTTTTTTATGTGCAGCTGTAGCATTGCTGCCTATACAGTCAGTGTAGTGTAACGATGCTATTTGTATAGAATGGTGGCCACATTTCTATGACATGTTCTTTGCACGTGCTCGGTGCGGTTGGAGCCAGCGCAGTATTGTTTTAATGCATTGGGCTTTGTGCAAGTGTTTTCACCACTGGGACAGCGCAATGCAAAGGGAACTTGTGAAAAAAACATAAGTTTCTTTTCAAAAATTCCAAATTTAGGTAGGAAAACATAAATAAAAGTGTTTTAACGTTTTTGCGGAGGTGTTTTTTAAAGACAGAAAAGACAACAGGATTTAGTATTATTATTTTTATCTTATTAAATTTTTATTTTATTAAAATTAAGTTTTCTAACTTGCTGATAAGTATTTTAGGGTTGTGCTGAAAACCGGGTCGGTTTGGAACCCGGAAGAAGTATTTGTTTTTAGCCTTAGAAGCCTTCACTGCAATGGTGCCCTGTCTGTGAGCATGTAGTTCACACGCATAACGTGATGTTGACCAATATGGTGCTTACAACTTGTCAAAGTGCATGTGCATAACATATTCCAACAACAATGACACATGCTCCAATTAGTCTACATGCTTTCCATAGGACATTAACATTACACTGAGAATGTATGACTGGTTGTTACGAAGATTCTTGAGCTCATCTTTCAATTTGACAAATGTGACAAGTGGTTGTAAAACCACAAATGATGAATCGCACTTTCAAGTGAATCATACTATGTGATCAAGAGAGGGAGATTTTTACTTGGCTTGTGCACACCGTTACATGGAGTCCATACAAGTAATTTTGCCATTCCGTAATAATGCATTCATGTGGGTGGTTGTCTCATGTGGCCCTGTATTTGAGTGTTGGCCCAGCCTGTTTGTTACTGATGCAAGGGATCTTGTGTGTGGCCCTGATACAATAAAATAGGATGATGTTGCAGTGGCTGGATGGGATTTTCAAGATAATTGGCGGGGTTGATCACACGTATCTTCCAGATTTCTGAGCTGCTTTGCTTTTTTTTTTTATTGCCTGTGCATGGGTGTTGTCAGGGACCAGCCACAGAGGAAGAAACCCAACAAAGGCTCTGGCGAGTCAGATAGCAGCATGGAGATCATCAAGACTTGGAGTACTAGGAGCAGGTGTAGAGACCCAGATCGTGGTAAGATTGGGGAATGCCAGTCGTAAAGTGTCATTGTTTCAACCATAGTGTCACTTCAAGCCTTGAAAGCTAGAAATGGTGTTGTTTGGAGAGGGTTCTGAATATCATTTCTGTTGTGCTCTCCTGCCTAAATGCTACTATCAAACTCAGTATGCAGTATGTCTGTACACATTTTGTTGAAAAGTTGCCCTGTGAATTTGCATTGTCAGGGGGTGCAGTCCAGCCAGTATGCCTACACTGCATGTTCTCACTTGACAGGGATAAGTCAAGCAGTGTTACCACAGATCTCTACCCAAGACCCATTCTTTCTGAATTTTTCTCTTAATCTGTCTTGCAGTTTGGTCAACAGTTCCAAAAGGTTGCCCCTAAGGGTGAAAATAACATTGTTTCAGCAGTTTTACATTGGAAAAAGCAAAGAACAGTGTTGTCACTAATCCAGTAGTTGAAAGGCAGTTGAGCTGTCTACTTCTGCAGACAAGTTGTTGGGAATCTCAGTGGATAATATAGTTTTTCCTTGCAAGTTTCCAATTTCCAACTTCCAAAGGTATTTATGGACGTTTCTGAGGAATAAGCTAGACAAATGGGGTTAAATGTGTGAAATGTCAATTGCCAAGTTAGAAAAACAGCCCGTCTAGTCCAACCACTTGGCAGCACACTGTTTCTCATATTACCCATAGTATGGATAGTTATTTCACCTTTAAAATTCTTGACAGAGAACATCACCAGGTCTCCATCCCCTAACCAGCCCACCTCCAAGCCCAAGTGGTTTGACGAGTACCTACAAGAGGGAGATGACACCAAGATTGAGCTGAGCGGCAAGCTGGTGCTTCTCTTTGAGGTCCTCAAGCATGCAGAAAGCATTGGAGAGAAAGTGTGAGTAGTCTCTACCAGCTACGCTCAGCTGGAAATGGTCAGTCATCTTGTTTCAGTTTGCATTAGAGGGAATAAGCTTAGCTCTTTGTCTTGATGTACCATTCATTTTAGCAGCCAGATCAAAATGGAGAAAATGGACATTATGTGGGTTAAAAAATGTCTACAGTTGCTATTGATTTCTATGGCGCAAGATTTTTTTAAACGCCTTTTACTCAAAAGTAGCTCTGGCCACTTGTGACCCATTTTCAAGGTGGGTCGCATTTGGATTTCTATGTTAACTTCATTAACTGTTTTACTCTAACATCCCAAACCATACACATTTCAACTTCTCTTGAGTGATTTTGGTTGGTTTATACTGTCACATCTCCACAGAAATTTCAAATAACTCCTGTTTCAATTTCACAGAGTAACACACTCCTTCATTAGGCGTGGAATCCAAAATACATTGACCGTTCGCACGCATGCAAATGCCAGGAACACATTCTTTTGTTCAAGCTACCTCCACTTCTCGTTCCCTCGCGTTCCTCTACAACAAAAGACCCGTCACGGTCTGTGCACACAGCAAGATGTTGTGGCCCCTGTGGTTGCACAAAACCTATGCAAAGAAAATATGAAGTTCCGAAACTAGCAACGTCCTGGACTAACAACCGTCCTTGGATAGGAAATAAAGTTCTTGGCGAACGGCGGGGAATATTAAATGTCGGGCCACTCTTCTGCTTAAGACATTTCTTTTTAATTCTCTAAAGTAGAGTACTTAAGCACTGCATTCCACAAAGTAATACCTTACTTCTTATCAACAAAAGGATATACATTGTATAAAGTTTTGAGAGGGTTGTGTGTTATCGAGTAGAAACATCCTTCCAGCCTTTGAGGTTTGCCGATCGTACCATTATTTTCATTCAGTATGTAGAGCCTGCCTATACCCAACTGGAAGAAGAAACATTAAGTGCTTACGATGTCAGCACTCTTCGCACTAGAATTAGGGGAAGGATTTTGAGCCCTACCAATGACATTATTATTTTCATTCCAGGTTGTAGCCCTCCCTATCACAGAGTATTATCGCCTTTACAAATTTATTCTACCATTTCAGAGTTTTTTCATTGAGATCTAGGCAAAAACATTTCAGCCCCCAACTGGCTGCTCTTTTTAAAGATTTTTAATCTTTAATTTTTAAGCACCTCCAGCATAAAGAATATTCCTGCCTTGCACATTTCAAAAACAATCCAACGATACTTGTGTTTCTCAGATTTTAATGGACGGAATTTAAGTTGCTAAACGTCAAGCAACAACATTTCAATTTGCTGTTTAAACATTTGGCCAACACAAACAATAAAAGCCGCCGCATGTCAGCTCAGTTTCGGCCAAACAAGTGAGTTTTTAATGCATGTATGTAGCTCAACAACAATTTTTTTTTTTTTTGGAGCATCCATCCCAACCTGTCAAAATATGTTAATTCTTTCCTCCTCTGCATTTTTCTATCCAAACCTGGACCATGAAGATTTTTTTCCTTGCACGACTTATTCCGAGCACCCAACCCCCCCCCAAAAAGATTAATCCTTCCCTCCTCAGCAGATCTCAAACCTGGACATTTTAAGCAAGAATGTACAAAATGTAAGAAGTCGGTACATCAAAAGGTCAGTATGAGTGTTTGTAAGCGGGAGGAATAAAATCTTATCACTGTTGACACATATTTAGCCAACCGACTTAGGAACAGCTTGTATGCGTGTTCTTGGCATCTTTGTTGTGAGCCTGCTGTTCTCCCACGCACAGGAACGGACGATTAACATAGCAATACCCTCTGAACCACTCATGCAAGAGAAAGAGTGCCCTTCGAAACGGGGGTGAATGGGAGGGCGTGCAGAACGGAAGGAAACGTGTGTGAACACGTGCGAACGGTCTCTGTATTTTTGATCCCGTCCCTTAGATTGTTGATACCATAGCTGAAATATTTCAAGATGCACTTTGCATTGGAGCGATGTGAATTTTAAATTACGGGTTTTGCCTGTACACTGATGTTTATGCATAACACTGTATACTCGGTGTTTGTGCAAGAGCTTGCGAAAAAATTTGCAAGCTTATAGTTCGCACTAGCCACTGCTACATCTGACCGACTAGCCGACCCCACAAGCGCAGTGGTCAGGTGGTTAAGACATCTGTACTAGTAAGGAGGAGGTTATGGGTTCAAGTCCCACCCGAGTAAGCTTATGAATTTTTTCACAAGCTCTTGGACAAACACTGAGTATACAGTGTTATGCATATACATCGGTGTAAGGGCAAAACCTGTAATTTAAAAACTAAAATAGTTCAGGAGAAATTGCCAGCACAAAATACTGCCTCACACCATTATGGCTAGCATGAAAGGCTGCCTCGGTATTGAAACCAAACCAACTGAATCATGATTTGATTGGTTTATCAATTGATTTGTCCAACATTCACAGCTTGGTGTTCAGTCAGAGTCTGCTGTCTCTGGATCTGATTGAGGACATGCTGCAGAGCCTTGAGGACAAGGCACAGGTTGAGCGGGAGGAAGGTAGCCAGGATCTGTCCAATCAGGTAAGAGATTGACCACCTTCAACTCATTAGCTCACAACATGGATGATGCAGCAGCTCCTATATTCAGAAAACGTAGCTTAGACTGGTTATCTTAAAAAGTTCAGAAAGCTGTTTGTTGTGTACAGATGATTATCGCAATTCTTTTTTATTACATTCTGTCCAGTTTGAATTTCTCTAACACTAGTCTTACACTAGACTAGATAATCGACTGCTGTCACACACTTACAAATGAGAATAGGCAACGTCGTTTGGTGTATAGGCTTGTTTGATATCCATTGTTTGTAAATCGAAAAAATTATCAAGAAAAAATCAAATTTATCTTGTGCATGTAAAGGTTTGAGTTAATGGAATCAGATACCGGCCAGCGTGACATTCAATCCAACTACCCCTCATGTGTAGGCACTTACCTCAGTACTGATAATCATCAGTATATGGATTAAAGCCTTCTGGTTTCACGTTCTTCTTCAAATTGTCTTCAGTATTTGCAACCTGAAAATACCTGGACCTACTGGTATTTTTAGATACAATATTCAGAGGTGTTCTTCAAACTGGTTTTCTTAATCCGATATCAGATTGGAGGCATTGGCTCCTGGGTTAAAGGTGAGGATTACTTCCGCATGGACGGTTCAACCAATGCAGCATTCCGCAAAGCGTGGGCCACAACCTTCAATGATATGAAGAACTACAGGTAAGCAAGTACCTTGCACGTGCACCTGCCCTGACGGAAATTGGTCGCATTGTTTTCATGGCTATGCTAACAGGAAAATGACTTGGTAATTACTAAAAGTTAGCATATTCATTTACATGTATTTCATTTTTCGGGATGCATACAAATTACAACCAAGTTACATATACAAATACAAACATTACAAAGGGATAAAATCAATAAAGAAGAACAATACACAATATCCACTTAGCTCCAGATGGATTGCCTAAAAGAAACAAGTTTCTGTCAAGAGGCTCTCCAGACTAATTGGATGATAGAATTCTAGGTATAAATATTAATGTAGCATCTTAACACGGACACAATTTTTCAATGAAATAAAATACGTAAGTTCTTGACATGACATGTAAATATTATACTGAACATAATGTTTGCAATTAAAAGGAGAATAAATAATTGAAGTAAATAAAATTAAAGTGATCAATTAAGATAGTAAAATGAATATGAACAGTACATCGGGGGTATCAATATTAATCAAAACCCAGTTTACAAGGCATTGCTAATGCATAGAATTCTAATTATGTCTAATACGAAGAAAATGCGGCTTAAACCTAATAATCCTCAGTCCTGCACCTGTCCAAGGCGTGAGGAGGGTTTGGGTTGATTTACTGAAATGTAAGTACATACCGTATTCAGTTCGTAAACAAGTTTTTCCGGAGCATTTGTATTCATCTGGAGGTAAACATGCCATGGCCCTGTAACCATTCAGAATGGATGCATTGACCAGCAAGGAGTTTATGGATTCGTGAAATGTATCGGAGACACCATAGCTCTCAGGCTTGAAGAAACCTTGAAGAAGCAGCTCCAGTTCTGGAGATGGGAAGGAGACCCCAGAGCAATATTTGGGGTAAAATCCACTGTCAGATAGGAACTGAAAACCTGATCCACTGGTTGAGATTCACACCTAGCCACAGGGGTGAAAGGTGTGAGACTTACTTCTGTACCAACTTGGCTGTCCTGAGAGAAGTCCGAATCTCACCCCTTTATGAGCCAGCTTTTGCTAATTCATGAAACTCCCCTTTTTAGGGCACGCCTGTTCTTAATCTCTACAAAAGCCGGTTCCCTGGGCACCAATCTCATTGGGGCCAATCGCGTCATCATCTTCGATGCCTCTTGGAACCCCAGCCATGATATTCAGTCCATCTTCAGGGTGTATCGCTTTGGCCAGACGAGGGCGGTGTACATCTACAGATTTGTTGCACAGGTACAGTCAATATCCATACCCTGGGCAAATCAGTTGCTTGTTTAAAGAAGGCGGCCTTCTGAAGGCCGTGTCATTTGAATTTCCAAAAGTTTCCTACCACTGTCTGTGTGAAACCTGTAACCTGATCCCTGCTCTGAAATGCATTTTGCATCCTTATAATCTGAAAGGTGTGTTTGGTAAAATTCTAGTGAAACAGGCTTAGTCACCAGGGAAGCACAGAAAAGCATGGAAACGGCATGTTGTCATATTCAGTACTTCCTTGTACTTTGACAGTATTTTTCTTGTTGAAGATTTATTTGTCTTGTTTGTTTCAGGGCACCATGGAAGAAAAAATCTATGAACGACAGGTAAAGATTGCTGCACTGTCTTCATTTTAAAATGACCTTGTGACAGGATTGCCAGAAGTTAAAGATGCATAATATCTGTGCTGCGTTCCATACAGCAGATGGTTTTTTTTTACTATGATCAGCAAGCATTTGTATTAAATAGGAGGAAAGGCCAGTTCAAACTTCAGGTAAATGTGAAAGTGAAGCTGTTGCAAAGTTGTGGTGCAAACATTAGATCGGAACATTAGATCAGAAATTTGATCGGAACATTAGATCGGAACATTAGATCTGAACCTAAGATCAGAACATTAGATCGGAACATTAGATCAGAGCATTAGATTGGAACATTAGATCGGAACATTAGATGGAAAATTAGATCTGGGCATTATATCTGGGCATTATATCTGGACGTTAGATCTGGACATTAGGTCTTGCGTCACAAATTTGCATTTTGTGTTGCTTTTGCGCAAAGTGTGAACCGACCTTTACATTAAAACACCTGTACAAATGACCTTTGACCTCCATTCTCTCTTTTCCAGGTCACGAAGCAGTCACTGTCCTGTCGAGTAGTTGATGAGCACCAGATAGAGCGTCACTTTACATCAACAGACTTGTCTGAGCTGTATACCTTCACGCCAGAGCGGCTTGATGACCCTAATGTGCCGGAGAGAGAGACCTTTGTATTGCCCAAGGTCAGTTGCAGGCCGGTATCCTCCACAGCCTGTACTGTGAAACCTTATGCAGTGGTGTACCTGTGCTTGTATTACATTTCCCTCTATAGGTTTGGCAACAAATTACACCACATTTCATGAGAGCTACGCCCTGCAAAGTCTGTTGGGGCATAACTTACACAGTCATTATAAATGGCCAAACTTGTGCCAAACAAATTGGAAATGGATGATTTCACTAACTAATCATGTTTGTTGTATGGCTTGTAACATGGTAAGTGACTTGCTGTAGTAAAATCGGTGAGAATCTTTCTCCATGATATTCAATATAATTAAAGCATCATACAATGAAGTAAGTTTGCATGAAATTGACCATTGTTCAGCTTTGAACCAAATTTTTTGCATAATGTTTAGGCATGATTCAAAGACATGGCAAGTTGTGTCATCTTAGCTGCTGTTGTCAAGAGTGGCCACATTCCATAAAAATGGACTAAGGTTTATGGTTTGTGTATTTTACCATGTAAAAAGCAACAGAAGTTAACCATTGGCAATGGAATGACCTCACTAGCTGGATGGTCAAGATACACGTACAGTAACCCTAGCAAGGAAATATGATATTTGGTTGTAGGAAACTCTGGCATGGAATAAGTGGGGGGGGGGTTGGAGCAATGGCTCCTTTCCTTCCCCATGATTCTGTTGGCCTTGAGTTAAATGACCACATCACTATGAAGGAGAAAATGGCAGAAACATTGGCCTCAACTTGAGTTTATCTGATGGGGTATGACTGGGAGGCATCCTTGACTCCATGGGCTGCGTGCGCATTCTTTCACTAGCCCCTGGTCGTGTAGAATACGAAAATGACGCTGATTGGCTATTCAGGATGAATATACATGAACGTAAAGTCAGTCGCATGTGAATTTCAAAAGCTGTGCATTTGCGCCCCATATTCTCTTGCACGTCACGCATGCGTCACTCTGCGTCCCTCATAAACATGCTGACTAAAGTCCTAATTTAAATATCCCAAATAGTAGGATATTTCAATTATACAATGCCAGGGTTAGATTGCGCAAGGCATGGTGGGAACCAACATGGCGCGGCAAGATCAATCCACGGGAATGAGGTTGAACTGGGGGGTTTCAGGAGGACACACAAAAGTCCTCTTACCTCAGTCCAAATTTTCCCAATGAAAGAAATCTTCCCCTCACCTTGGTGCCAGCATGGGCCCATGGTGAGTTGGCCCTGTGGTATGGTGTGCTATGCAAATCAAAAAGGCCCTTCTCATTCACTCCTGGAGTAAATGAGAAGGGGTTAGGCTACCCATTGGGACATTGATCACTTGTCTACATTCACTCCTCCCCAGGACTACGTCCTAGCAGAGATGCTGAAACACAAAGACAAGTGGATCGTCAAGTACCATGAGCACGACTCACTCCTGGAGAACATTGAGGAGGAAGAGCTGACGGAAGAGGAGCGCAAGAATGCCTGGAAGGAGTACGAAGATGAGAAGGAAGGCAGGATCCGTATGGCCATCGACCCTCGCCTGCTGCAGAGACAGAACTTAAACCAACAGGACCTGGCTCAGCTACAGGTAAGAAAGGGTCAGCATGGGTAATGGACGGGATGAGGTGGGTTAGGGAATCGGACTTGATTATGGGTTGGGTCTCTTTAAGGCTGGGCTGAGACTTGGTGGAATGAGGTTGGTAAAGGATAAGGCTGAGTTGAATGGGATACGGGTAGGGTAAGGCTGAGTTGGGAGTGGATGGAGTGAATTGGGCTCTTTGTAAAGCTTGCTTATCTCTGGGTAAGGCATGTTTAGGATGGCTTGGGGGTTTGTTTGGGATGGGATAAGGTAGATTAAGGCTTGTCTGAGACTGGATGGGGTGAGGTGGAGCAGGGCTTAGGCAGGGTTGGATGGGATAAGGTAGGTTAAGGCTGTTTTTAGTGTGTTTTGGATAAGGTGGATGAGGGGTAACGTTGCATTTGGTGGGATGAGGGTGGTGTGAGTTTTGTGAAGAGTCGGATTGAGAAGGATTAGGAAGGATTGAGTAGGGTAGGGTTGGGTTAGGTAGGGTAGGGATGGGGCGCAAGTATGGCACGGGAAGAGAAGTGAGGATAGGTTTGGGTTATGATAGGGTCAGGCAGGGTAGGATAGTGTGGGTGGCTGGATGGTACAAGCTAATGATATGAAAAGGTTGCTAAGGGAAAAGGGAGGGACAGAGATGTGTAGAAAATGTTTTTTGAAATTAATAAGAAAATTGTCAGTTGGGCAAATTATTTCAATGATTGATTTGAGGTTTTTTTATAATGCTTTGTCTTTTTGACCGTGCAGCAAATGTGGTATGGTGGAATGACTCCGGTAGGCCCAATCAAATCGATCTCCCCCCCCCAATCTTTGATTTGCATGAGTTCCAACGTCTTGTATGCATGCTCCAAACAAAGCTGGAAATTACTGTAGCAATTTAACACCAAAAAGAAAGCTAAAGCAATCAATTTATATAAAAGACACGTTTTCTCCTCATATTTGTTGTGTGTGACAACATTGCATAAAACTCAGTTTTGTCCCAGTGAATCCAATCTTAGCACAAACATGTATTTTGTGTTCTTTAATTTTAAAATCTTTAATTTTTGATTTCAAACCCGTTTTCCTTCTACATCAGTCATTTTTGTAAAAATCCTGGCCTGATTTCCCTTGGCACTTATTTACCCCCCGCAGGTCGAGAAAGTTTCAGTTCCTTTTTTTATGGTAAACCCATTTTGCAGAAGACTTCTTTCAGTGTTTAGTCTGTGGGTACCATTTCCTTGCTTTGCAATATCATTCACTGAACATTTGTTGCTCGCCAGGCGCACTGTATGTATGAATATTCATCACGACTGGTGTCCTGCCAGCTTGTTAACTTTCCCGTAATATTTTCAACACTAGCTGATGGTGATAACATATTTGATTTATAATATACCAGTTCAGGTTTTCCTTAGTTTTTGTAATCGTAAGTTACTCATGCACTTGCTATGTAGTCAAATTGCAAAAACACAGCTTGGAGCTTTATTATTTTGTTTTGTTGCAAAGGATGTCCCTGGCAAATTCCACATCCACCAAGTGCACCAAATCTGTTAAGCACACAATTACCGCTTTGTGTATTTTATTAAGCCTTATTTTCCGTGGAGTTTTCTGTGTAATTTTGCTGTCTGAAATTCAAGATTTTTTTGGTGTGCCGTGTGCTAAAGCTTGATAGAATTTGCAGCTTGTAAACCTGATGGTAGTTGATACCTGGCTGGGTGTTGTTTGGGTAGGCCTTGCTTGAGGCTATGAAAATATGCCCACACTCAGATCATGTGTTACACCATATGTTTGTGAGAAAACTGCATACTTACATGTTGGCCCCCGTGGATGGTATAGGGGGTTTTGCTGGACCACCTGACCCAAGGTACATTTGCCATCGTCATAGGCGAAGTCTGTGGTGCCACCTGCAGTACTTAGGGAGATGTTGAGAAAATTGTGGAGCCAGCACCAAGTGCTGGCTCAACAGGATGACAAAAGGGCGGTGACCATTGTGCCATTTGATGAAAAGTTATCTTGTGAAAAAACTAGAGACACACTGTGTAGTTCACAACTTGCATCTTACAAATTGCTAGCCAAACACTTGTCTGCTGCAGTTTTGGTCGGATCGTAGGAAGCCAGTTGGTCACATGGTACATGCACATAGACATGTTTTGATTAGACACTGTTGCCACTTGTCAGAGCACTTTCTCATTCATGTGCAACTTCTTTGAGAAGGGCTTGAGACTCTTTAGCAGGCAAGAATATTTTCAAAGATTAATAAGGGAAATCAGTATGCATATCAAACAGTGAATCTGGGTTGTGGTGTATCATGGCCTAATCAACATGTAATCAAGGTGATAGTCATTAAGCATACTTGATATCCACTTACTTGACATTGAATGTTTCTTGCAGGGGATGTTCATTGGCTCTAATGCAATGCAGGCAGCTCTTCTTAGCAACCAGCGACAACATTACAACATAGTAAGGGAGAAAAATGACTAGCAGAAGTAACAGTTCCAAATGGATTTTGGATTTTGATGTGACCATAAAAGTGATAATTGATAGCATTATGAGTAACACCTGAGAAAGAGTGCAGGTGCTGTGTTATAACATTTAGTGACTTGATTTTAAACATGTGACAGACATGTGGCACCTGGGCCACTGTATTTTTCTAATACTGAAAAATCTTCCCTTTAATAGCATTATTAACAGGTTACCAGCTAACATGACATGGTGTGCATAATGCTTGTGGCTGGTTTCCCTGCTTGTTTTTGTTGAGCACATGTAGCTGTTACATGGAGTCCTGCTAATAAGCATACAAGCTTGCTATGATATCGTTGACTGCATCACAGCAAAGGCCAGTTCATACTTCAGGTGTATGTATTTGTGCAAAGAGCGAAGTGAATCTCTTGTCACAAACTGTTTGCGGCAAAATTCTCCGATTTGAAATGTGTCCAGCGTTATCAAATTCACAGCGTGAATAATTAATATCACATCATGAATTTGTGTGTGTGCTCACTGTCATGCCAAGTAAGAACTGGTTTTGAAACACAAATCATTTTTATGGGTGAGAGCTCACAAAAAGGTTCTCTTTCCATTGCAAGTCTTGATAATTCAGAAAACACGCAAGAGTACACAACCTCTTGGCCTTTTATTTCCTACAGTTTCATTTTTTGCCAACCTTTAGTGAGTTGGAATTCAGAGAGTTCAAGACGTGCTCTTGAGTAGACACTAGCTGTGCTGATGGTAGACTTCTTCTCACTTTACATTGTGGTTTCTTCCAGATACCAACGTCAAGTATGAATCCCTCCTCCATGATGCAACAGTTGGCCTTGACAGCAGCATCAACAGATAACTATCAGGTAAGCAAGTAGTTTGGATTAGTTGCTAAGCAGTTTGTGTTTAACCACTTGCTCCTGGGTGTAATTTGAAGTTGCAAGACGTAAATTTTTTAGATTTTCCGTTTTCAAAATTCTTCAGAAAGTCATAACTTCATTTACTGGACGTTTACACCCACATGAATGACTGTCTGGTGGCAACTCTAATCAGACAGAGAAAATCTATCTATGTCCGAGTATTTCAGCCAGGCCTGCCACCTTGTAAAAAGAGCCCGGATTGTGCAGTGTTACGTAAGTTTGTTTTGTTCCGGAAACCAGCACAGTACATTGCTGGCGTCTTTTCAGTAGGGGCCAGATTGGTGTGCAGCAGTATTGTATCGCTCATCGCTGGAGCACTTTTGTCCCCGATGGTAATCCATTCGTGCTGAATGCCACAACAGTGGTATAATCTTTCAAAATAATGAGGGATTTCCTTCGCTATTGACAACTGAAAAAATGTTGGCGATTTCCAGCAGCTCAGTCTTCTGTTCCGAGTACAGTCTTTTATTACAAGGCCCAGCTTTTTTGTCCGATTTCGGACTCCTCTGTTTCGTGTATAAAGTCTATGTGCCCGAAACTGGGCTCCCTGGCAGGAAATGGTTAAGATTGGTTTTAAAGGGAATGTCAGTCTGCAAGACTTTAGTCCTGACCCTGCAGCAAAGTGCAGCAGACGTAAAAAGTCTGGTGCATTTTGTTACACGGGCAGTGAACAGCAGCTGGCCATGATGAGACAATGGGAGCCGGTCCCATTGAACAGTGCCACAATTGGATTCTGTGGTGTCTCTCAACCAAAGACTCCCAAGGCCAGGCTTGCGCATGTACAATGGACCTGTTGGATCTCATTGCACTGGGCAGGCAAGTCACTCCGACAAATGATGCGGACTGATGCGTCCGGCAGGGTTTCTAAACCGGAATGTCCTGGACGGTCCTTGTCCATGTGACCACTAACAATTGATTATGTAAATCTCAGATGCATTCTCCCCCATTTCTTGCTCCAGAAGTTATTTTTAAGCAGAATACTAAGCCAACAGTGGTTTAAAGTCTCTTCTGCACTGTAATGGCAATGGTATTCCTCCGTTTCTTAGAGCTGTAAGATTATTGATCTTGTCCTAGCTTTTATTTAGTGTTATCGCTGCTTTTAAGTATGCCGTAAAGCTTCAAAATGAAAAAGGAATGAAATCTTGGCAGTATTCACCTTTACAAATTTGAATAGGTCTACCTTACAGTGCCGAATTTCCGAGAAGTCTCTCTCTCAAGAAGACCCCTGCGAAGAAAGCATCCCCAGGGTTCCCTTGGTCACCACTTTCATTCTCGTCTTCCTCCCCTCCGCAAAATAATCAAGGACAATCATCATATCCTGCACACTTGAGACCGCCTCGCCAGTGCCATCCCAGTCACCCCGCTTATGGCGTACAGGCGTCCCTGCAACCTACGGGACCTGATCATTCCGTTATCATCCATGGATCACTCCCCCCCTCCCAGCATGGCACCTTCAACTGTAAATCTAACAGATGTGTTGTTTGCCAGAACCATGTCCTTGAATCAGATACATTCTCTGGATATTTCTCCGCCACCACCCATTGAACTAGAGGCACCATCACTTGTAGCTCTTCTAATGTCATATATCTTATCCCTTACAGGGTGCGCAGTGTTCAGTGTGTCAGAGAGACTCAGAACAGTCTCAAGAAGCGTTTCTATGGCCACAGATCTACGGTCAACACCAAGCAACTAGCTACCCGTTAGTCAGCACTCCTTCAACCTTCCTAACCATTTCATTTCTGACATGATCTTATAGGGCATAGAATCACTAGGGCATCACAAAGATGCTGTTCGCTTCAAAAACCTCCGGACCACATAACCCTATGGCCTGAACATCCAAGAGGGAAACTACTTATTTTTAATTTGTTAAAACATTTCTTTCTTTCCCTTGCTTATGTCTGCAGATAATCCCCTCACTCAGAGTCTACCATCTTCAATTGGAGTTGGTCTTTGATCTCTTCCTAAGTGCACCTCACATCCCTTTGGTTCTTAACTATACCTTTTACAGGGTCCCATTTACCCCTTCTGTTATCCAGCCACCAGCTTTCTCACCCCTTTTGTCCTGCATTCGTCCATGGTTGCTTGTCTCTGTCCACTTGTCATTTTGCCTTTGAGAATGATTCTGCTAAGACTGAAATGTCAGGCCCTCCTGTTTTTATTATTTGTATTTCCCAGTCACTGTAGCCAGCAAGCAGTTTGCAGCAGTTTTGTATTATAAATGTTCTGGCAAAAAGCTTTAGTTAAATTAACTTTCAGTTTTTTCCAAATACACCTGTTTTTCTGTTGTCACATTTGATCAGAGTTTGTGTAAGAAAGCACTTCTGTTTTTTCACCCAAGCAATTTCAGCAGATATTGTATAATCAGCGAATGCTGCAGTTTAGGCAGCAGCAACAGCAGGCCTACCAGAAACAACAGCAGGAGCAGCAACAACAGCAGCAGCAGCAGCAACAACAGCACCAGGACATGGCCCGTATGCGTTCAGGACTGATCATGGATGACATCATCATGCAACAGCTGTGTAAGCCCACCAGCACTGTGGCCAGCACCTCCAAGTATGTGCTCCCCACACAGACACCGTCCAGCATGCACGAGAAGCTCCTGCAGGGGCTGAACTCGGCAGCAACGATAAGCGCTGACAAACCGGGCCAGCCGGTGGGGGGCGGAAATTGGGGTGGTGCTGGGGGAGGGAAAAGTGGACCAGGGACTTCTACTGGGAGTGCGAAATAATGGTTCCCCGCAATGATGAACGTTGTATGTAGCATGGCTATTTATTGTTGACAATACTGCATGTTATTTGAACAATCATTTAGGGGATAGGTTTTTTGTAAGGATGATCAGAACTTGGGAAAGCTAGGCCTAAGCCTAGTTGGATGCTTTGATGCATAAGAAGATGGAAACTCCACACTTTAAGAGTTAGTATTTAAATATATTATTTGTGTTCAGGTAATCTAAGTTACTTAAATTTTAGGTTATGTGAGAGGTGGTGTCATTCCTCCCAAATGGCAGGAATCATAAAGTGGACAAATGCTGCTCAAGGACTGTTGAGAAATTGACAAAAACCTGACACTCAGATGCTTGTAGGGTGGGGGTCATTTCTGCATTAGGATAAAAAGGCAGCTGTATATTGCTACACATGCACACCAACATTGCTTCACTAATGGTTGTTATGATGAACACAGCTATATGTATTCACATGGATGATTCATGGTACATGAAGTGTTGCATATTGCTTGTTCCAAAGTCAAGTGGACCATGTAACTTTTTTATGGTTGAAGTTCAGGATAAGAACTTTGTCTTTTGCTTGGTAGCTGCGTATCCATAAACCACTTCACATCTTAATCTGTCCAGTTTTCTCATTGTGGGTAAATAGTGATATGGTGGGATAGTGTAGCAAAGAGATAAGCTTGCCCGACAGATCATTCAGTGTCTTTCATGTGACATCTGTGTACCCCCACAGACTCAAGGAAGCGCATGTGAGCTGTGCAGATTTTTAGGTCTATAATTGAGGGAACCGAGTAACTGGCAAAGCAGTGATACGTTCAGCCCTTGACATGTGCTCAGTGTGTGGACTGAAAAAAAAAAGCCAAGGATTGGACTCTTTTCTTGGACCAAATGCTGATATAAAATAATAAGGAATTTGCAGGCGTTGTCGTTAATTGTATTCCAATTTTATCCACATGTGGAGTGAATTGGTAGGATTCTACTTACTCTGATACAGAATAAGAAAGTATTTGTGTCTACCTCATTGCTTCACAACTTGTCCAAACTACTGGTGTTAAGTTATACTTCCACAAGAAGGAAAATCGCCACAAAATGTAAAAACCAGTGTTCTTTTATTTGGGTGGGGGGGGGGCTGTTCTGGAATCGAGCACCTTGTTTGAGGTCCCATTGTCCTTTTCATGCTTAATGGGACAAAGACCAGTATTAGCCAATAACTGCTGTAAAGGTGAGAGAATTTGTTTCTGTTCCAACTTTTCACCTTCTCTGTTTTTTTTTCTTTTCTTTGCTTTTTTGGTTCGTTTTTGCGAAGTTACTGAAGTGACTTGTATCATTGCAGGCAGTGCTGTATGGCGTGTTGTGTATCAAACCATTGCGCTCTCTTGGATGGAATAACTGTTACCTCAGTGTGTCCAAACGAAGTCAAAGCACTAGATAAGTAATCAATGTGTAAGTTTTCATGCCAGGACGGCGCATGGGAAGTAATGTTCTGGAAGGAAGAATCTCACTGTAGCTTTTGCAGCGCTGGTGACAAAGATGGAGATTTATGTAATGTATTTAATCCTAATTAATGTGAGGAATGTGGCTGTTTATGATTAGACCTGTGGTTGTTAAATAGAAATTTGTTAGAATTGGAGCTTGATATTGTCCCCAGCTACGCTTTGTCAAACCCACATTAGATGTTGGGCCCAACTAGTGTTGCATTTAGTCAAACTACAAGAATGCGCTGATATGTCGACTGCGTTGTGCAGAGTTTTGGAAGGTTTCTTGCCAACAATCCAAGTGTATCTGAGATATTCAGCATCTTAGGCTGAAATTTTTTTAGAGTGTTAAAAAAGTAAGTCTAATAAATTATCGTCTTAAAAAATATTGTAAAGTTTAGGACTTTCCCTCCAGACTACCTTGATGAGCAGTGAGTTATTTGTCAGAAAGTCTTAGAAATGATATTATGGAAAAGTCATGGATTTGTCATGAAAACGTCGCCAATGCATGCTACAGGATTTCTATGAGAAATCACTCTGTTGTGACCAGTTTCTATAATACTTGGCACTAGGTGGTTTGTTTTTGCCATAAGTTGGTTTGGAACATTAAAGTGATTCATTTCAATACTGCAAACCTGTAACTTGTCTTCAGACTTCACCAGCCAATTGATGATGTTATATTAGCAGACCTTGAAAGTTGACCTGATCCCGTAAGATCTGAATAATTATATTGAAATTGGAGCAGTCCTGTAAGAGTTGAGTATTCTAGATTTGCACCAGTTCTTCAGAAAACCTGAGGTATTGTACCCGTGGCAGATGACCTTCTTTTACAAATGTATTTTTGATCAATATGTGCTTTTCACTGATGGACAGTACCAGTACGGAATTGATCTGTTAAAAATGTACGTCAAGCAGTGTTCTGAAACATTATTTTGAGGTTGAGCATTTACCTGAAAATGCATAATCACTCCAAAATTGAACAGAAAAAATATAATACATGAACAGGCAGCAGTATCTTTTGCGGCAATATCTGCGAGTACCGTTAGGATTGAAAAAGATGCTGAATTCATTTTCTTAACTTTGATGAGGTGCAAGATTTGTATCTTGACAGGAAAAAATAAATTTGGATGTACTTGGGCAGACTCTTCCCAACTCGCCCTGCCCTGACCCTATCGTTGTATCCACTGTAAAGGTGGGTTTTGTGCTGAGCATCTGTGTGACATAAAGCAAATATATTTAACCCAAAGTAAAATTTAAATCACATTCAATGTAAGGTTGTTGTTGTTTTTTTTAATTTTATGCCAGGAAACTTGTGTATTTTTTTCGTGGAACTTTTATCGACATTTAAAGTGTGTTTGTTTTAAATATTGCTCAGCTGTATCATGTAAAAAATACCTAGATAGTGAATGTGGCCAATAAACACATATACATGTTTAAGCATGTACATTGAAAATGTAGTCGTTTTGTTCACTTATTGCAGTAACTTAGTGGGTCAGAATGGTTTGGAAGATGTGTGGCTTTGTAAGGCCAAAGGGATGGTTTCCTTGTGTGCTGTAGATGTCATTTATGACAACTAGAGCAAACTAGTCAAAGCAATTGGGAACTCCTGCATTTCCAGAGATATTTTACATGGCATTTAAGGCCAGTGACCGGGGGGGGGGAGTGTAAGTCTCTCCCATTCTCTTGAATACATGCAAATATATACATGTATGCAATTTTTAGGAATTGAAAGGCTTTAGAAAAGGGCAAAACACCTTTGGGGGGCTTAAGAATTTTGTAGAGATGAACACTGGATTATTTCAGGGACAAAACAATCTACATTCTGCAACCCCCCCCCAAAAAAATACCAGGTGAAACCACCAAGACTTGTTCATACTCCGTGTAAAGGATTAATGTATTAGATTGTGCACTTCAAACTTTAAATATGTACACGGTAACTTGTGAGCTTTAAAAGTATACATGGTAGATCAGAGTCTCGGCAGTTGCTTGTTTTGAAGTCATTCTTTTTTGGACTGTGTATATGGCACTGCTTCTGAAAGGCTTTGGCATCGTAAACTTCTTTTTCTGCAAAACTTAATCACATTCATAATTCCAATAAAAGAGGCATGGAACTTAACAGTGAGATAGACAAAACATGGCAACTCAGAAAATACATTATACCAATAATTTATTTCATATTGGCTTGAACAAAATGACACTTAAATTTGCACATTGATAATTTAAAACATACTAAAAAACTTCCCGAGCAAAAGTCAACTCATTACAACAAAGTTAGAGAGACCAGAAAAATTACTTTGTCATTACTAAGACTTTGTTATAAAAGGAGTGGAAAAACAAAGAAAACACAAGAATTTATGAAATTGGAAATTCTCAGAATTTGCTCCATATAACAATATTTGAGTATAATTCTGTTAAATTCTGTATATCAAGGGTCGACTGCATTCACAAGATTGACCACCAAAATCTGTTCCAAAAATAGCATTTGGCCAAATTTCTGTCAAATTGTAAAAATGAAATTTAAGGTATTTGTATTCTTTACAACGTATTAAGAGGACTACATACAAGCAGTTTTCGTCTGAATGTGCACGAGTATAATGTTGTGCACCCAAATGCACACGTTTGAGTGTCGGCCCTTTCTTTTCCCCTTACTGTTGACATGCTTCTACCCATAAAAGAAAAAGTAATAATAAAAAATCAACCATTACAGAACAGTGTACACATTAATAGTGATTTGTATCAAACCTGTCAAGGATAGTAATCTCTTAGCTGTGGTGGGAAAACTGGGAGTGCTGACATGATGCACAAGATTTTATTCTGAAAATTGCTTGGCGAAAAAGAAAACGTGACCTTTAAAAGACACTTTATGACCTCCTCTCAACCATGTGCTCAATTCTAGGGGCCATTTCCCAAATCCTGGATTTCTAGCTCCAGTGAACAAACTCTACAATCATTCAACCATGTCAACCAAAAGCCACAGTCTAAGACAAACCCAAATTTGGGCAAAACCCAGAGGTGCATTAAAGAGGGAGTAGCTGAGCTTCAGACTTT